CAGGAGAGACTTGAGGGATTCCCTGCAGCAATAAGGCTCCATGTTTAGCATTTGGTCAAAACTAACATGTACGCCGATCTTCTCACGATGATTGCGTCCTGACCACCTGGAAAGTTATAGCAAATGAGAACGTTTTTTAAAGAAGGAACAAGGCATTCTGAATTATATTTTAACATGTTTTCAATACTGCTTTGTGCACAAAATAAATGCTAGGGTTTTTTTCTGGGCTTCCTCTTTCACTCTTCATTTCAAGGCCTTTTTAAATCTGTCTATGGTACTTATTATTCTGAAACATCCATCTTAAGGTCTCTGTAATGGCGAGCAGGAAGTGCTTCCCACCTATTATATCTCATTGGTATTTCTCATTTATCCCATCTCCTCCTCATCAAGTTTCTTTTGTATTAGGGACAGACTGTACAGATGTGTGGGCTAAGAGTTCACAGAGATGCAGTGTCCGCTTCCTTATTCTCAGGCTAATGCATTCATGTATTTGGTTATAGGAAGGTCACCTGGGACTTCCACTGAATACAATCCAGGTTTGTACATTCATGACTATGAGCATTTACTTCACCTGCAGGTGTCACAAGATTAATTTTTACTAATGGAGTAAGGTTAGTAGTTTTGACCAAAAACATGGATGAAATAATTTTGGTACTAAAGCAGCAAGTAGCTGAAATCCAAAAAGTTAATTCCCTACTTATAGCATATCTTACTGAAGTTTAAATTAAACAAGAAAAAGAAGTTTCTCATAACTATTTGTCATCATACTAGCAGAGAGAAATGAAACTGATGATGAAAAACATTGACCCAAACAATGGAAGAGCAGGAGTGAATCTGTCAGTTTGCAACACTTTCTGTTGCGATACTACTTACCTAAACCGTTTAAGGTGTAATCTGAGAACCTGAGGTAGCCGACACACCATAAGTTGCTTCTGAGCTTCTGTGAGTATAACTGGTTTAGAAGAAAACTTCCTTCGTTTCGCTGAGGTCAAACACACAGTTACACAATACAAATCTCAGTAACGGCCCCGTATTTCAGTCTAAGATTTATCCACAAAATTTGTCTGAACCTAAATATCTATGGTATGTGCCTCCTTAAAAAGGATACACTCTGAGAGCCACTTTATGAGGATTATTTTATGATGCAAGTAAAAAATACTTTTGGTCATTACATTACTTACATTAGTCACTTTAATTTAAAAAGCTGATGGCTTCTTCAGCACTTCAGCTGGGAGTATTAGAAACCCTGTTAGCGTGTGATGAGACTGTACCTAAGAGAAGCATCACAATGCAAAACATCCTGTGAACAATTTAATCTTCTGGGTGGTGAGTAACAGGTGTCAGGTGACCACATCAGGACATAAGAAGAAGGTCTTTGCAACATACTTCTAAGACTTTCAGTACTTTTGCTCTATACTTCCATTGTCAGTTTATATTTCACACAGAGAACGTACACATGAGTACATACTGCCTTTACTCACTGTTGCACTGATCACACGCATATATCCTTCCTTCCAAAGCTTCAGTTTCTGTAAACTTGGCCAGCATTTCTGTCAGCAGACACGGATACTGAGACGACATCTCCTTGCCGTTGCAGTGGTACCTCTCGGGAAACTCCAGGGACAGATCCCAGAAAGGTTCCACGGTATTTGATTTATTGTCACAGGCAAGACATGTCACCTGTAAAAAGATATTTCAGCAGTTGCTTACGTTCAAAAATTTACTTCACTAGAAGCGTACCATAACATACTTCTAAAAAAAGATTTTTTTCCTAGAGACAACCAACCAAAGACAAGACACAGTCACTTAACAAAAGAAATTATACACCTAATTTCTTTTCTCTGAAGCAGCACGTCCAATACTGTTATCACAAAACAAGTAAGCGATCTTATGTTTTACTGAGAAACAAAACCAGTGTGAAAATGTTCTGTCTGGGACTGTCCAAAAGAAAGCAGCTGGTGAAGTCTCAGGAGTCTTTTCTCCAAAGGAAAATTTATATGAAAAATTATAGTTTAGGTTAATTTATAAATAAATAAAAATAAATTAAAAACACACACACACACAAAAAAGGAACAGCTGGGGATTTTAAAGTCATATCCTTCTTACTTTGTAAGTCTTCCAGGGAAGCCTGGATTAGGAAGCACACTTCTTCAAAGAAAAATTAACAGGTAAAAATAATTTATTTCTTCTTTCAGTAAGTGGATCCATCGTCACACTAGGGAAAGGACAAGCAGTAAGACAACATAAATAAAATGTCAAGAAGTGAAGTGAGTCAACCTGGAAAATGCAGATAATATAGCAGCGGACAACTAATTTATGATAACATTCAATATTTAGGAAAGTAAGTTAAAAGCAGTAGCTCCTCTAAGCTGGAAAAGCAACACATTAGGTGTTGCATGCTTCCTACTTAACAAAATACCCCGAGTTGTTTGGAACAACTAACACAAACACACAGTAATAAAGGAATGAAAAATCCACGGGCATCCGAAGACCGTTATTTCACAGGCACCCCTTTACGCTGCTGCTGTTCTGCATAAATGCAGTGTAGATCCCTTCAGCTGGGTTAGTAACCCCATACAAATGTGAAAATACACTCAGCTTTGTTACAGAGCTCCTGTATTTTCCTCTCAAGGTTTGCTATTAGGTAATTATTCACCCTGCTTTGTTATTTCACGATCGTTTATATAAGGACCGATCTGTCACCTCCTGGTACCTTCCTCCGAAGTGTTCTTGTGAGTCACTATTTCATGCATTCAGCAGCTACAACAGCTCACACAGGACCTATGCATTAGCCAGCTAGTGCATGTGTGTGGTTTGTGTCCCAGCACAGACCTTCAGCAGCGGAGTCAGGAAAGCAGTTCACTGCTTTATGTTCTAAGACAAAAATGCCACTGCCTTGTTCTTAGAAAACAAAACTTCAAACTTACATAGCAGAAAAGAGGAGAATCTTCTGTTTTAATTTACACTGACAGGAGCTTCTTTTGTAAGTGCTAACATCTGGCAACGTTTCAAAGCCACAAATTATTAGTAATTCAGAGCTGGAATCTAGACTTGGAGACAAAATGATATGTTTGGCCACAGTTCAAGCTAACTCCAGCATAAACACAGAATGACTAATAGATTTCTGCTGTATAAATGGGTAATTCTGTTGGGCCAAAAGTTTTTTTAATTGATACTTAATTTACTTAAGAATTTGTTGCGCATGAAGGCACACTTAAGATTAATGGGCTCAGGATGAAGAACACACGCAAACTCGAGACAGATAATTTTAACAAGTTCTGAAGTTTTAAACTTAACATAATATGCTAATAATCTAGATTATTTTAAGATCCTCTTTCCCAACTACTTAAAAAGTATGATCCTAGAGAAAAAGAAATTAATAGACCCAGCTTCCAGTTTTTGCCTCTTAAAAAAATTGAGAAAGATAAACAGATGCAACAGAGCTGCTTCTCATCTCATCATGCAACTGTGAACCAAGTCCATTTGTGGGGATAAAATCTGGTACTGATACACAGCTGCACTTACTTCTTCAAATCCAAGACAGTCCTCCTCGCTGTGACACTGCAGCAGAGTTAAACTCTGGGATTTATGTACTTGCCAACAGCCAAGTAACCTGACACACTCGGGTAAGCACACACCCAACCACATCGGCCTGCTCCTGTGCACGCTCCCACGAGGGGGAAAGCAGAGGGAAATCAGGGCTGGGACAAAGGTATTTTTCTTAGCCAGGCCTGATTGGATTACTCAAAAAGTAGGAGGATCTCTACCCTTCTGGAGAGGGAGTCCATCTGCACTGGCCTGTGCATTGGCACTGGCTTCACAACACTCCCATCACTCTTCTTTCTGTCCTAAATGGAACTCCTTTTTCTCACACTCCACCACCATCCACACAGTGCAGCCCAGATTTTCTTTTTTCATTAAAGGCATTGAAATTGTAAAATCTGTTCAAAAATTTGAATGAGATCCGAGGTTCTTACAAAAAAAAAAAAAAAAAAAAAAAAAAAAAAAAAAAAAAAAAAAAAAAAAAAA